CTGGACATAATAGTTCTGCAGCTATTCCATTACTGCAATACTCATTATTTAATACTGCTGCATGCACGTGGCACTCCCCTATCCCACATGCAAGGATCCCATCAACCCCCTGGGCAGCAAAAAGTGGGTGCTCCTGTCAGCCAATATCCTATAGATACTGGTGATCCCAAATCTTTCTCCAAGCCCTTCTTGGCAGCACAAGTGTCTCAGCCACAAGGCACAGGCTGCTTTATTTGCCTCTCTCTATATGATCCTATTAAACACTTGTGCCTTAGCACAAAGGGAAATTCCAATTGCTCTACAGCAACAACAGGCTCCCTTTGTAATTTCCATTCCCCAGCCTCTCTGCCACATCCCACCTGCAGAAAATATTGTTTTCCTCCAACACACTGATGAACTATTGCCTATCACATGGGCAAAATCTGATCTGTGAGGACACAGCAACACTCCATCCTTAGCACATTTGCTTATAGCTCTATTTTGACAGATAGCAGATAATTTTTGATTTATTAAATAATGCTCTACTGCATTTATGTTTAAGATACCTTATACAAGTCTACACATATTTCAAGAAAGGACCTTAAGCTATGTCAAGACAGACTATTAGCCTTCTCATTTCCCAAACTGGGAGACCCATTACACAGAAAGGGGAAGCAGCTTTCCCTTGAAGAGGCAACTGCTCAGAGGCAAAACTGTGAAAAAAACCCAATCTCCTGACTCTTGATTAATGGCTGTAGTCACTAGACAGTGTAACCTTTAGACCTTTCCAAGAAGTATCCATCTGTGGAAAAGAAATTAGGGAAATGAAAGGACATTTGTGCATCAGAGTGTTCCTTTCAGCACTGATTGAAACAAAGTATGTCACTGCTTTGACACAAAACTCTGGAGAAAGAAAGAGCCCACTTTGCAATCCGTTTATTTGCATATACTGGTCTGGAAGGGAAAATTCTCCCTTCTCTGCGCACTGGACCTTCTTGAAAGGTTAATGATTATGTTTGTCTAGAAGTTAAACTTCATGAAAGGCTTCTCTGAGCCAATCTTTGACTCAAGTGCTTTCACAGAACACCCCACACAATGAATGCCATTCCACAGGCAGCTGCAAGTAAACAGCATTGACTTCAGGTTTCAAGCACGTTATCATGGGAAAGAAACAACCTATTTTTGGAAACAAGCAAAAGAGCTTAAAAATCATAGGTGGAAAAAGAATAGACAGAAACATAACTAAGAATTACAAATCCTGTAGTGAATGATTTAATTGTTATACAGTAAAAACTAAAGGTTTTCCTTTATGTGTAAATGAGCGGGCAGCACTGGAAGCAAAGAATACACTTTTCCCATCTACAATACAAGATTTGCTCTCACATGATACCAGGGAGGTTAGACACAGACAGACTCCAAAGAGGATTAAACAAATCAGTGGGGGACAGATCCATTAGCAATTATGAAGCAGGATGGACCCAAATCCAGCTTTGGCTAAGAACAGTCCTTAACTGCTGTCAAGACAAGAAGGGACCCTTCCACACCCACCTTTACTCTTTGTCATTTTGCTCCCACCATCTGCTATAGGAGCCCGGATCAATACCTGCGAGGCACAAAGATGGCCATTTTTGTTTCCACTGAACAATTAACCTTCTCAGAACCACCAGAAATCCCGGGATAACGGACGGGGACTCGAACCGTCAGGAACGCAGCGCGAGTGAGCCTGGAGCGCCCTCTGCGGGTAGCAGCGGGTGAGCCGCGCATCCCACACCCCTCCCTCGGAGGACGCCTGGACCGAGCCAAAACTGTCCCTAAGGAAAGCCATGGTGAGCCCAGAGAGCCTGCAGTCACCTGGACACAAAAGGAGTAACATATCCATGCTGGCTGAGTTCTCCTCCTCTTTGTCCTATTTCTCCCAAAGCAAGGCCTTCTCAAATGTTAAACTTTTTAAAGTTAAAAAAAAAAATTTGCCTTGGGAAAAAGTCTTTTTCTTCCATTAATGGTGAGGGAGAGATAGGGATGCCTTGACATTACAATAATCACCTAACAAAGATAATTCATTGTGCACACCCCATAACTTTGGTCCAAATGTTCCCCAGTGCAGAAGCCCGGCTCTGGTGCCACAGGAGGAAAGCTGGGAGGATGCTGAGTTCCAAAGGCCCTCACAAACCCACCCAGCACTCACAACATCCAGTCCAAAGCTTTTTTCAGCAGGCCAGAGCTTGAACAGGACCTGCTCTTTCCCTGCTTTTGGCTGCCTGTCCCCTCCCCAGCCAGATTCCCATGGAACAGAAGAACAAAGCCACATGTGCTGTAAAATATTCCCTGAGGGAGAGAACAGGAGAGGGCTCAGCTACCAGAGAGAACTAAATAGATGACATGGGGGCAAATTTCACACAGGACAGAATTAAGCAGAAAAGGGAGCTTCTCTCTCTGTGTGTGTCTCTGTCCTCAAGCTTGAAACAATACTCATGGTTTAGGTCATGCTGTGTTTAATTTCATGCCATTACCAAGGCGCTGGGAGCAAGAGTCATAACCCTTCTGTTGCAGCCAGAGAACAACATGTGTGCCATCAACATGGCTCCCCTTCTTCTCTGACTCGAGTCAACACACAGGAGCACCTGCAGAAGCTACACACAGAAAATCAGGAAGAAAATTTTGAAGCTGCCTGTGTATCTGCACTAACGAGTCAGTTTAGGTAGTCACATTTTCTCAGCCAAAACCAAGATGTGTGGCTTGTGTGTGCAGTCACAGATAAACTTGAGCCTGGGATAACAATGATTCCTAAAGGACATTATTAAAAGGATTATTTACAGAAATTATCCAGTGAAAAGTTTCAGCACTACTGGTTTTAGTAACACTGCAGACAAAGTCTAAACAAAAGGAAAGCAACAGATTCAATGAACTTTAACATTTCTGAAAGCAGGTACTTCCACTGCAGTTTTCAAGTCCAGTGAAGGATGAAAAAAATTACTGATGAAACAAGACATAGACAAAGCCCAATCCAAACACATCACACAAAGTCAGTGATTACCAACCTTTCCTTCCAGCAGAAGGAAAGGATCTGGATACGACTGTGCACAAGTTAGACACAACTCCTGAAAGCAGCACCAGTCCTGCAAGGGGCTGCTGAATAGCTGGATTTTGTCCCCATGGCTCTCCTGTCACAGGAACCTCCCCAGCACATCACAAGCAAACTCACCATTGCCCACAGAGCTCCATTCCTGAACCATTATCATAAACTTCTGGTCTTCTGTAATAAATGTGTTGAAAATGTGCCTTCATAGTAATTTAAGCAAGACAACAAAGTTTTTCCAGAGACAAGGTTTGGGTTAAGCTGTTTACACTCCATTTTTGCACTGGGGTATGTTAAGTGGTTTCAAACACAGCACTGCACTCCAGTTTGGGCCAGCAGAGATGCTTTTACCAAAATCAGGCATGTGGGCTCAATTAACAACATTCTCAAGTATTGGCCAGCCCAGCTTCCAGTCCACACAATAGGCTTTTGTTTTGAGCCTGGCACTGCATGGGGGCAACCAGAGCATAGCTCCAGAGGAAGCCTTACCAGCAGATATTTTGACTTGCAGAAGATAGGAGCCCTCCCTGACTGCAATACTCCCATTGCATCCATGAACTAACTGGGATTTGAAGGTTGGAAATACTTTTTTGAATCATCCAGAGCAGAAATACTGTTGACAATAACAAAGTTAAGCATCACTGGCTCCAACTGGCAGAATTATTCCTTGGAGCTCCATCTCCATACTCAATCACCACAGAGTGATCAATCCAGACCAGGCAGAGAGGGCCCAACTTTGCTGGACACAAGTGTCAGCACTATGACTTAGGGCCCAGCAGATTCTCCATGGGGTGCTGCTGATGCCCCACACCAAACTAAGAACCTGGTTCTAAATATTCTTCCCCACTCTGACTTGAGAGGATATCTATGCTGTAGCTGTGCTGATTCCCACTAAATGCTCTGGAACCCCCTCATGGATTCCAGTAGCACCCTTCTCCTGAAAGGGCACGACAGAAGCACAGGTTGTCTTTGTCCTTAAATTTTTGTTTAACTTTTGCACATTACAACAGGCAAACAATTGAAGAAATGACTAATAGACTGAAACAAGTTTAAGCTTCTGAGACTCATAAATGGACAAGGTAAGAAGACCATTTCCAAAAGCTAACACAGGTTCCAAAACAGAACAGATTCTCAGAAGGTAAAAACCCAAACCAATCCAAAATAAAAACAAACAAAAAACCTACTTTGTAAATCCTAAGCCCTCCTGAGGACTAGTAAACAAAAATTTTCCTTGCTAGGATGGCCCGTGTGCTGAAAGTGAAAGCTAGGCTACTGTCAGGGCCACCATGTAGATTTTAAGCTCTTCCATAGCAGTAGGAATGTTGAGGAACACAGAGTTTTAACTTGGTCATGTATGGCTGTCCTTTGCATTCTTATGACTGCCAGTCATGCTTAATTCCACCCCAGGTCAGAATTTACCTTTCAGATTCCTGTATTTGTCCAGAAACCACCACTGAGCCATGAGAGAGACGGTAGGTGCCACTTCCTACCAGCCACCACATGGACACTCAAGCTCTCTGGATTCCATTACTGTTCTCCTACTACTGCAGGGCTCTGCTGGCAACCACTGGATATTGTTTAGATTCCTGTATGCACTAATCCACTGGGATATAGCAGTAGATGTTTTGAACTTCTCAGGAGTCCTTACTACTGCACAACTAAGGAAAGCAAAGCCACATCCTTAAATCAATGGCAATTGATTTGTGTGTAATTATGGGATACATCAGCTTGCAACATCCCTCCCTCTGATGCAGGAGGCAAAGGTTACCAGCATCAGGTCCAGATCACAAGCTTTGAATCATTATAAAAGAAGTGGAGCGATCTGACTTCCCCATCACTGCAGCCTCACAACATACAGGAAGCCTCCACAACAATGCCCTGATTGTATTGTGTCATGTAACTCACACATCCAAACCTGCCCCTGCCACATTCCCCACATTCATACCTCTGTTTCAGGCCGTGGAATAAATACTGGGGGTCTCATCTTCAAGGTCAGGTCCTGGAAATCCCACTCTCCAAGCACGTACTGCACCGGCATCCTGCAGCAGGCAAAAGGAGTGTGAGCGCTTTGGGACTGTGCTGGGCTCACTGCTAAGCACAACCCCTGCTGAGGGCCAGCAATTGCATCAGCAATGTGCATGTGCACGCAGAGGGAGCGGGGAGAGATCCCTTGGCACAGCCCAGCTTGTTATCAAGAACTGGAATTGGGAACTACAGGTCAGTCAGCCCCACCTCGATGCTGGGGAAAGTGATGGAACAAAGAGTCCTCGAGGCTGTGTCCAAACATGCCAAGTGCAGGAAGGTGATTGGGAGTATTCAGCACAGATCTACAATGGGGAAATCATTCCTGAGTGAGCTGATAGTCACCCATGACACAATGACCAGTTTGGTGCATCAAATCCACATCTTGACTTTCCCTAGGGTTCTGACACTGTCTCCCATAACATCCTCATACACAAGCTGATGCAGTACAGACTGGATAAATGGGCTGGAAACTGACTGAACTGTCACACTTGGAAGGCTTGTTTCAGCAGCACAAGGCCCAGCTGAAGGCTGATTCCTAGTGGAGTACCCCAGGATCAATGTCCTGTAACACCTTAATGGTCTGTGTTAAGGGACAGAGCACCCCTGGCATGCCTGCAGTGACAGAGAATTAATTGGGAGGAGTAGTTAACAGACAGGATGGGCGTGCAACTTCTCAGAGAGACCTCTGGAGAAATGGGCAGACAGGAATCCCATAAAATTCAGAAAGGTGCAATACAAAATCATATAAACTGGGAAGGAATAACCCCATGCATCAGTACAGGCTGGGGCCTGACCAATTGGACAGTGGCCTTGCAGGTAGACAAGTAGTGCCTCTCACTCAAATCACCATGAGAGATCATCAGAGCACAGTTACTTGACATCTGAGCTGCCTTCCCTCTGCTGCCATTCTCCTGGCTGCTTTAAGGCTAAAGGAAAGTCCTCCAAAGGAACAGGTACAAGAGGATTGCTCCTACCTTTGTAGCCGCTTGTGGCTCAGCTGCTGGATTTGCTCCTGCTGCAGTGCTGTGAGTGGAGTGTGGAGGCTTTTGGAATCCAGGCTCTGAAACTGAAGACAAAGTCACTTTAAAACCTGCCCACCTGTGCCACTGGAGGGCCCTCTGCCACCCTGACAAGGGCATCCTCCAGGGTGACACAGGATGCTAACAATTGCCTGGGACTGCTGGAAACCAGATGGAGAGCAATCAGAAGAACCTATCTGCATGTTTAGAAACAAACCTTTACTACTGTTCTTCTGCTTCTTTTGGGGGTTCACAAGAATAATTAAAATTAAGAATCATTTCATCAGGCAAGTCAGGGTGGATGTTTATGTTACACTTCAGTGTCTGCAAAAGAGAGCATTTAAGAGACCCCTGAGTGTTCTACTGGCAATAATAAACTATCCTTCACCCTCTCTGCTATCTAAGGGAGGATATGTTGTTCTACTCCCCCTAAAAGAGATAGAAAGAGATTCAATCAAAATGAAAAAGTGAGAAGCACACACAGACCTTATTCTTTTCCCATTACTTAACTGTTTTTGCTCCCAGGACAAATGACACGATATATTGACTGGATTCTCGTGCTTCAGGGATCCCATTTGTCTCGAACACCTTCTGCCAATAGTTGACCGTATCAGTGGCAGTCATGAGCCCAGGTTCTGCACTGCAGCTCTGCCTCAGAAATAACTGCTTTGGATTGAGGACAGCACCTTTACTTGGAGTCCCTCGCCCTGGCACATGCTGAGGTGGGAGGCTCAGCAACTTCCTGAGCAGTGGATGGGTGAGGCATCTCATTGTGCCAAAGTTTCTGGCTTCCACAAGTGTTCCTCGTTGCCACCTACTGATCTCTCAGTGCTGAGATTCATCTGGTGCTACCACAAGTCACTGGCTAAGCACCAGCTGACCACAGTCAGTGGGTTCTCCACAGGGCAGCATTGGCAGCTCTTCTAGGCAAGAAAACAAGGCAAGAGAAGAGTGTGAATTCCTCGGGCTACTAATTAACAGGTTCCCCTGTGACAGAATGCAGACTGCTTGCCCCAATCCCAAAGCACAAAACCAATTACTCACACTGTACCAGTAACAAAGTACTACCCCCCAAAAAGACTCATGCCAACCAGCTAAGCCACTGCAACCCACTTCTTCCCAGAGCAGCCCAGCTCCAGAGGTCAGAGGCCAATCTGTGCCCATGGCAGGGCAGAAGCAAGCTGCCCACACACAGGCACAGCTCTCCTGCCTGTCCTTGGTCCCAGAAAGCCACTGACACACCAACCTTCAGCTCCAGCCCTTGGTCCTCCACCCCATGGGTGGGTCACCCTGGTTTCCCTGTAGAAAGACCTTCAGTCCCTCCTAGATTATTTGTTTTATTCCTCTCTCTGTTCATAATCCACAAGGAGGTTGGCAGGGATGCACACAGAAGACCTGAACCTCATGGATCAAGGATCTTTCACACTGCCACCATCTCCAGAGGGCAAACAAGGGGACACAGAGGCAGAGCTGAACTGCTAAGAGCAGAGGAAGGAGAAAACCTCACAACGTGTTAGAGGGAAGAGAAACACTTGAAAGATGGAAAGGCCAGAAAGGGCAAACCCTGCTAGAGGGAAGTCAGTCTCTTAAAGGAGAGAAGAGGCAGAGCCAGACAGAGGGAATAAAAACAAACAAGATGACTGCAGGAGACAAAGGAAATGAAACTTTACAAAACAGCTGCTGCATATCACACTTGGAACTCTGCAAGACAAACAGAACAACAACCACATTTTCCTGCTGTGACCCATGAGGAATGAGGGCCCCTCTCCTTTCTGACTCACAGTCCCTGGAGCAACTATGGGTTTCCCTGAGCACTCCTTGCCATTCTTCTATTGATGGATGGTTTTCAACACTGTCTCAGAGAGGCCACAACCTCCTCTACTCCAATTTCTAAAAAAAATCACCACACAAACTAAATATCTCTCCTGAGGAGCTGGCAGCTGCCCCCTAGGAATGTTCCTGCTGGGAGAGCTGGGGAGACTGACTTGGCTCCAGCCTGGCAGATGCTGGCACCACAGTCCTGCTCCCACTGCACAGGGAAATCCTGGAACAGTCAGGCCTCACTGCCCTCCGCTGGACGGCACAAACACAGCCCAGGGAAGCAGCAGAAGGATTACCCTGCAGCAAAGATCTCTAGATTGTCTTACCCGCTACCTCCTGGCAAAGGGGTGGATGCTCTAAGAGCTCAAAGATCCCCTTTTTACCATCTGCATTACTCTCAGCAGAGAGACAAACAGCTCCCATGAAAACTTGCCTTTTATGTAAAGTCTGTCAGCTACAGCATTTATTTGGGAAGCTTCCCACTCCATGGCCCTGTTCACTGCTACAAGAGAAACACTAAAAGAATAAAATGTTAACAACCATTAGCATTCTAAGGGAGGCAGAGAAGACTACAATTGGTTGAATTGACTTTAATTGGTTGAAACAATTTGCACAGAATCACTGGGGTTAGAAAGGACCTTTGGAGATCATACAATTTCCCAACCAAGGAAGGTGACACAGGAACATGGCCATGTGGGTTATCACATCTACAGAGAGGAAGACCCCTTGAGCCCCCTGAGCAGTCTATTCCAGCGCCCTGCCACCCTCAGTGTAAAGTTCTTCCTCATGTTGAGGTGAAACTTCTTGTGTTTTACTTTATGGCCATTACCACTCATTTTGCTGCTGACATCACTCTCTTGACAATCTCCTTTGAGATATTTATACACATTAATGAGATCCCCTCTCAGGTTTCTCTGGACTAAACAGGCCCAACTCCTGCAGTCTCACCTCATAAATCACATAATCCAGACCCCTCATCACCTTTGTTGCCTCTGCTGGACCCTCTCCAGTGGCTCCTTGTCTTGTCTCTTTGAAGAAAGGACACTAGCTACTGATGTGAAGTCCCTGCATTCTACTTGGTACAAAGTCTGCACACAGGTAGGAAGCAGATTTCCTTTCCCATCTGGAGTTCCTCTAGAGTGGTTTGGCCCTTTCAGCCCCATCTCCCACTCCCTGTAGCCTCACACGTGCACAGGTGGCTGTGGAAAGGCCCTGCCCCACTCACAGGTTTGAGCAAGGGCTGCAGCTCGCACCGTCCAAGTCCCGTTCCAGCTGCTGTCAGTGTCCGGCTGAGCCAGCGCCGCACGGGGAGGGCAGCCAGGAGCCGTACGAGCAGCGCCGGGACCGGAGGCGGCTCCTTTTCCAGCCTCCCAGCTTTCCCCGCACATTTAACACCGTGAGCACGGCCGGGGGCTCCCTTCGCCTGAGGGGCGAGAGTGGGCCCGGGGCTGCTCTGAGGCGAGCGCGCGCACAGCGACGCCTCACCTCATGGCTCCCGGCGCGGCCGGGGTCACAACCTGCTCCCTCGGGGCCGGGAGCCCGATCGGCTCCANCCCGGTGGGGCGGGGGCGGCGGCAGCGCGGCGCGGGGAGCCGGCTGTGAGCCCGCGGCTGAGACAGCTCCGCCTGGGCAGTGGAAGGGCCCCGTACCCCGTTATCCGCCTGGGAAGTTCTCCTCGGGATGGGGAAGGAGGGACTGCCCTCAGGGCTGGAGCCCCCGGCCGGGTGCGGTGGCACTGCCCGCACGGGACGGGGCGGTCGCTGCTGTTGCCGTGCGTGTCAGAGCGGGATCACAGGAGCGGTGACATTGCTGGGAGGGTGCCCGCACCTGGGCCAGGGTGGGATGGGACCGTGCCCCTCTCGGACACGGGAGGGTGACAGCCCGGGAGCTCCGGGGCAGCGGGCACACACGGTCCGGACTTTCCCGCTGCCCTGGAGCCTGGTCAGCTCTGGAGTAGAGATGGGGGAAGCCAGAAGTTCACCCATTGGGAAGCCACAGCCCGTTGCCAGCAGCAACAGAGTGCCGCTTCCATTGCTGAATTACTAGAGATACTTCATCTTGGTGAAGTAATGCAGAAACTACACTTGTTATTATTCTTCATCCAGAGACCCTCTGACCCATCTTCACCCCTGTGACACAAATCTCTGTTCCTGCCACACCCAAAATGAAGCAGCAGCACGGAGAGATTAAAACCAAAACTTCAGAAAAGGCTCGAGTTTGGGGCCCAAAACAATTTTCTGCATCTCAGAAGTAAGCAGCACCTATCAGAGATCAGTTTGGAAATGCTGGCTTGGGAGAGAAACAAACGTGTTCTCCTTATTTGCAGAGCCAGCAGAGCCCAGCAGAGCAGCCCTGGCTGTGTGAGGAGCTCTCTTGGTGCAGGCAGTGGAACAATGCCAGCTGGCAGCAGCTGAGGATCTGGTTCCTCTTCTGTTCTATTTGTGCATGGACTATGCTGGAACCTGCCAGTGATAGCAAGTAGCTGTCCCTGGCCCTACAGCTGCCATCAGAGGCTTGGAGTGTGCCCAGCCTGCAGATCAAACTTCCAGCACCAGGATGACAACTGGGAAAGGAGGGTGTTGGGGAAAGATGATCTACCCCAGCTGTGCTGTGTAGGCTGTGGGCCCTGCCCATCCTTGCACTCAGTCTCCCTATGTGACTGTCTGCAGCCTGGACCAGGAGGAGCTGGGGGGCAGAAACAGCCCTATCTGGACCTGGAAATGGTTGTCTAAGCCAGGTCAGGAACTTTTGACACAGGACTGCTTTTAGAGCTAGGTCTGTGGGCACAGGAATTCTTCAGCATGAACAGGACACCAAGAGCAAGAAAAAGAACCCCCATTCTCCCTTGACCAGGTTTTCAGCTGCCTCATTTTAACCCAGCCTTTTTTGGTTTTTCAGAATTAACACCACATTCAGCTGAAGGCCTAACCCATTTTGTTTCCAAAATTCAGGAGCTGTTCAAGATCTAAAGCCGTACTGTACAAAGCTCTTGGGCCTGCTTCACTCCTTTCACTTAGGCTCTTTTTCCACATCTTATTTCCTTGGTAGTGGCTTTTTAAAAAATGGGTATTATCATAATGGAAAATTTCCCTGAATAGCACAAATTGATGGATTCTGCCTGAGCAGCTGCTTGATCTGCTCAATAATTCTTTCCCTGCTGGGCTGTTGCTGCTGCTGCTACTGGTGTTATTGTGACAATGATTTCAAATTTGTCGTCTTTGTGCCCAAGTGTCCACTACACCTGAGCTCAGCTGTGGTCAGTAATGGCTGGAGAAGTCCATGGAAGCCCCGTGGTTTAAGCAGAGTGCTGGGCTTAATGGTCAGTGAAGGGCACAGTCCCCTTCATCTGCAATGAACTCGTGACCCAGCACAGTGTTAGGAGAGACCAGAGCAGAACCCTTAGTATTCAAGTTTTTCTGGAAACTCCAAGGAGTTTGACAGCTCCCACAGTCTCCCAGGCAATTCAGAATTCCCCTTTGCTTCACAAAGTTGTTTCCAGGGGGTTGAGATAGACTCTGATGTGTGGCAAGGCATTTATCTGCTCAGGGAGCTGCAGGACAAGTGGAGGTGACTACCCCAGCTGCTGTCTGACCACGGCACAGCCTGGTGCTGCTTGCCTGGGGTGGTTTCCCTGCTCCAGTTGTTAGTGGCAGATGTTGATCACGCTGCTTCCTGCAGTTGTGGACAGCAGTCAGGCACCACAGTGTGGGAACTGCTCAGTAACCTTGTCTGCAATGAACAGAGGGGAGCAGAAGAATGGCTCGTTTCTCTTTGCAGGCACATCTTTTTCTCTTCAGAGCTCACTAACCCCTCTCTCCCAGCTGCATTCCAGCCCAGAGATGTAATGTCTGCTAAACTGCAGAGAAATTACCAGAGAACTGCTACAGAAGTTCTCAGGTCAGCTCAGCTCCAGAGGTAGCTATGTTTTCAGGGAAGCAGCTGATGATCTAAAGTTACATACAGTGCTTTTACAAACAAAGTGTGCAAATACTTTCCATAAGCTCATCCCATGGTGTTTTGCAACTCTTGATCATTTGCACAATAGAAGTATAAAGCAATTAAAGTTCTCAGCATGAACAGATCTATCAAATTTCACAACTCCAATCCAAAATTGGACTAATTTTAAAATTAATATTGATAATTGCCAGTGCATGACTAAGCTTGAGTGGGTGCTTTCATGAGGGATTGAGAAATACTTGGTGTCTTTTGATGGAGGACTGATGCAACCCACCCTTTCCAGAGCAGCAGTGAGCAGGGATGAGCAGCAGTGGGGTAATGGATAGTGCAGGGACTCATCACACCAGGGAGCTCCTACTTTGGGTTCAATAAAAAGCATCCTGAGATATGGATGCCTCACAGCTGAATGTCATTGGGTATGTTCTCACTGGTAAGGGGATCAATGCAACTTTCCAAAAATTAAAAGGAAGAGACAGAAGTAGGAAAATGCTCTATCCTGGGGCATATAGAGACCACCTGGTTCAGCCTGGGGTACACCAGAGACAAGGGCTCTGAGGTTGTCCCCACACAGCTCTCCAAGTTAATGCAAGGAGACAGAGCTGGAGTAGAGAGGGGAGAGTTATCATCAACTCCAGGTGAATCAGGCATGACTTTGGGGGCCCTCAGAATGCTTAAAAACCATTTTTCTTATTTTAAACAGGCATTGCAAAACTGTGCTGATGAATTGGGGAACCATGGGAAAGATTTGTGCCTGTCTCCAAGAGCTCTGCACTGTTCATTTGTTCTCATTCTCTCCTAGGCCGAGTCTAGTGTGGTTCCCACTGAAGAAAACACATCAGAGGTGATGCTGCAGGAGAGGTCTCACGTGAGGGCCCTGCAGTGGAAAGGCAGCTCTGCACGTCTGTAGCTGATGGGAGAGGACAACAGCTTGGTAACAGGAGCTACCAAGAGCTGGCAGGATGAGTTACAGCTCACCCTCTGTGCATGACTTGCATCGCAGCACCCCCAGCACAGCCAAGCCAGACCTAGGGACAGCTCTGGATGTGACTGTGCCACAAACACCCACTGTAAGCCCTGAGACTACCAGTTTCAACAGCACCAAAATCCCAGATGTGGCCAGCACTGGACCTGGCATGAGCACCATGCTGCTTTCCTTTGGGATCATTACTGTGATTGGGCTGGCTGTAGCAATGGTAAGAGAGCCCAGCTAAACATTCCTGCCCCTTGACGGTGGAGGGTGGTTAGAGGTTCTAGGACTGATTTTTACTGAATAATTTATTTGCATTCTATTAAAATCTCACACAAAACTGCTAGGAGCTGATAGTTCCTGAGATTCCTTTCTTTTTAAGGCCTTTATCAAGTGCTCCAATATTTCTGCAGTCTCCCTGAGGTCCAAATGGGATGCTCAGCAGGCCTAGGAGCAGCCATATGTAGTATCAGTATTTGTTTGCTAACCCTAACAGCAATGGGAAGTTCAGTTAAAAGGAAAAAAAAAAGCAGATTATGTTCTGACTTGTTACCTGGAACAGCTGCATTGATTTAAACCTTCTCTTGGGCCCCACAAGAAAGTTATCCATATTAACTTTTCAAGCTGGTGGTTGAAACCATGTTAGTCCCCCCTGTGGATATGGGGTAATTCTTTTTGAATTAAAGTGGCCTGAATCCATCTCAGCAAGACTCATCTTGGACTGCATTTCCAAGGTTCTGCATGCTGGGTATCAGTCCTTGAGGGTTTGGTGTGTCACTAACCTTGTCATTAATGTTGTGGGCAGAAGCTTTCAGAAGCCCCAGTTCTGGGCCCACCATGGGCAGTGCAAGGGCTCAGCTCTCCTTTTATGTAACCAGATCATTTCCCTGCCAACAGAGAACAGAAGGTAGCAGCAAGCTCCCATTCCTTGTACAAGGAAGGGCTTCACTAATGCAGCCATCAGAGGAGCCTACTGCAAAATTTCATTGCAGGCCCCAGGAGGAGTTTTTCCAAAAGCCCCTAAGAAAACCTGGAAACGGTCAAAAGTTCCCAAGAGCAGCATCCAGCGTTCGTAGTTCTCAGAACAAGGCTGTGGAGGCCCAAAGCCTCCCTTTCTTCCCAGCAGAGGCAAGTCCCTAAGCATGTCCTCCCTCTTTGCTTCTTCCCTTTGTCTTGGGGAGGGGGTAGCAGCACTTCTGCGCTGTAGGAAATCTACACATGAAAACCACAAAGGGAAGCTTATTTTCATCCACTCTTAAATTCCAACATGTGTCCTGCAGCCACAGAAATGCGCTGAGCTACACCTGATAATACCCCTAATACTCTTACTCCTACTAACACACCTAATAACAGGCCACTGAGCACTTAGTGTTAGACATGATGTGCTGCCAAGCTCACAGTGATGCATATGAAGTGTCATTTTCCTTGTCACTTCTCCCTTCCCCCACTTTGGTGCACAGTGACACCAACCCTCTCTATCTCTTGTGTTCCCAAAATTTCTCTTCTCAGCTATTCCCCATCCTACTGGGACTGCTGTAATGATGCTTCTTTTTCTTCTTCAGGTTCTGTATATCAGGAAGAGGAAGAGGTAAGTAAGAATGGCTGTGTGAGAACACTGACTGAGGCTGGGACACTGCACTCCTGGGACTGGGCAGCCCTCTGACACCAGAGTGTCAAAGACTCCTCCACAGCTTTGGAAGGAGAATAAGGCTGAGCAGGAGGAGGTCAGGGATCCTGCAAACTCACTTCACCTATGAGATGCATTAAAACATGGGAGATGGATATAGGTGTATAAAGAAACTCAGAACTCCATCATGTGGATCTCAGGTTTCAGCCATTCCCAGATTCCTGTGTTTTCTTGCATCCCAGGCAGAAAGCAACTGGAAGCAACACAGTGCAGAGATGCAACTTCAGCCCAGGAGTTAATGTCTTAATTTCCTTGCTAAGCTTGTGGCTGAAAATAGAGGGGAGAGCAGCATGCAGGGAGCATCATGTCTTGATTCTTCCATCTCACAGCAGGGACTCCAGTGGAGATCCATAAGCTGTGGTACCTCCTCCCTCCCTGACTCCTTGGGGCAGGCCTAGCCAGGCCAGGGCTTCTAGAAAGTGCTGCTGCCCACTGTAAAATTTCCAAGCCCAGTCCCCAAGTCCAGGTCTGGGTGCTGCTGCAGGAGCAGCCAATGCTTGGCCTGTGAAAGTAGCGCTGCTGGAGATAGTGGTTGTGCTGGCAAACCCATAGAGAAGCAGGGGAAGAATGTGTCATCCTAACACTTGCCAAAATAGATATTTGTGGTGACACTGCCAGTAATTGCTTGTGTTTCCTTCTACTCCAAAACTCAGCCATAGCCAAAGGCAGGACTCAGTGTTTTCCCAGGAGAAAACACCATCCATCCATCTCTGAGGAGACCCTTTGAGTAATAATTTATAGCTCTGTCTCTTGGAGCAATGAGATACAAGAGTAGGAACAGTGTCCACAGGCATTAGCCCCCTGTGAGAATCTCTCTCCTATTTTCTATTTATTGTTTATTATTTTCTATTTAATTTTGTGTACTTCAGCCCCAGAGTTAAAGTACTCTCAGGCCACTGGAGCTTGAAGTGAACTGCTGCTGGCAGACTGTGACATGGCAGCATTGAGCTGGTGTGGAAGAGGGACAGGGGGAGAAGTCACAAAATGCCAAGCCAGTATGTTCCACTGTTTCTTTTGTCCCTCCACATAAAGCCTAATCTTTTAAGGTCCACAAGAACGGTTCTTAGCCTCACCCAGCAAGAGCCACAGGAGCAGAATCCCTGTGCAGCAGGAGAAGCAGCCTGCAGGAAGCCTCAGCAGTGGGGTGGGGAAGCAGCCTGAGCCCTGTCCTTCTCAACCAACCCTTTCCCTCCCCTCCCACGGGCAGGTTGGAGAAGTTACGGCACCAGCTCATGCCCATGTACAACTTTGATCCCACCGAGGAACAGGATGAGCTGGAGCAGGAGCTGCTGGAACATGGGCGAGATGCAGCATCTTCCCAGGCATCACAGAGCAAGGTAGGCAACAACCACCATGAGTGTCACTGCAGCCACTGCTACCTGCACTGCTTTCTTACAGGGCCAAGGAGATCCTGTAGGACTGCAGGGTAGGGAAACCATATAAGACCTCAGGAGGATTTCCACATCTCTGCCAGGCCTACGGATAAGGATTTGAGAGTTTTGGAGTGCTTAGGGTGGACTGAGGAGTCAGGCAGGTCTTTGACAGGACGCTCTCTCCTGCCCAGAGTAACAAGAGGTAGGAGAAATTGGAAAGAAGGGCTTCTCACCACTGTTTGGGTCCAGCTTCACAGTGTTATCTGTTACCTTTGTCACCACCACCACCATACAAAAAACCTCTTTTAAAGAGCCAGCAGGGATGATTGGAGCAAGTGTCTCTTAGTCAGTGACAAAGCCTGTCCTTGGAGCAGACATACCTTTCTTCTGATGCATTCCTCTCCAGCTGCTCTGTGTTGCCTGTGTCATCTCCTGGTTTTCCTGTTCAGGAGCAGGAATTCTCCCAAACAGTTCTCAGTTTCCACACACTTTATACCTTCAGAAAATCTGTAGCGAGCTTGTTGTGGGCAGAAAAGGAAAGAAGAAATAATAAGTACAACTGTAATTATAAAATACTTACCTTAGACATTTTTAACCTGCTAAAGAGCACAAAGGAGAGGTGTTGGAATATGAAAGATAGGCAATATATGGAATATATTAGTTTGGAAAAGCAGGAAATGTGGTGTATAAAAGCAAAGGATTTTGTTCTCTGAGTAGCACATCCTAGGACAACATCAGGTCCCTCTAGTAGCCCACATAGGGGGCTTACCTGGAGGTAGTAAAGGGAGGGAATTGTAAAGCCAGAGTTAACCTCAGCACAGTAAAACCAGAATCATCCTCTCCAGGGACTGGCCAGCAGGATACCTCAGATCCCTCTCGCTAATGCTCGGCAAGTGCAGGAGTTTAAAGATTCAATGTAAAAAGAGAGGGGGAGTCTAAAACAACAGCTCAAGTTCAGGCAATGGCACATTTCCAGGCCTTCTTGATATCTCAAGCCTTTTCATGCTGCTTTGTATATATAAATAGTGAGACTCAGTAATCCAATGATGTGGGGATTTTAAACTGGCATGGATGTACTGACTTACTCTCCAGCCTGTTGTATTTTCCTGTCACAGCCTTGCTAATGCCTTGTTAGCCAGGCAGCCTCCCCTGGAAGGGGTGAAGGCAGTTCCAAGTGTGCAGCCTGTGCCCAAGCACAGCCCTGAGCCAAGCAGTGCTGGCTCTCAGCTCTCCTGCTCCCCTGCAGGTGCTGCTGACGAGTCAGGGAGCCCTGCAGAGACCCAGCCGCCTCGTGTTCACTGATGTGGCCAACGCCATCAATGCATGACCAGGACCTGCCCTGCTCCGGGATCCTGCTGAGAACAAGGAAGATGAAGCCAACAAAGCAGTGACTTCCCTCAAGCATGGCTGATCCACTGAACCCAGCTGGTCACCTGTTGGTTTGTGTTACAAATGGGCACGGGAAGTGCCATCACTCTGGGAAGCAAACCCTTTGTAAGGGCAGTGGTGATTTTCTGGTGTGTGTGTGTTGCCACTGAAAGGTCCTGAGCTCCAGTCTATGGGCTGGCACTGCCTGACACCACCTGCCAAGCTTTGTGCTTAGAAACAGTGCCTGCTTTGTGTAGATTAACCTGCTGGAACACAAGGCTGTGCTCTCAGGGTCAAGGAAGGGGAGAGGTGCACATTTCAGAGACCTTCTCCACTGGCTTTGTGTGCCCAAGGCCCCTGGAAAGTGATGGATAAGCCTCTGTGCAGTGACCACAGCTCTGGCCAGTCCTGGGTGGGACTGGTGGCAAATCCTCTGAGTCAGGAGAGCTGCCTGTCCTAGCTGAGGGGTGGCCTGGGGCACAGCAGGGAGGACACAGCCATGGGATATCCCCTCCCAGGCCTGTGGCTGCGGATAAATGTGCACCAGGGTGATGGTGAAGCATGGGGAATTCACTGGCTTTAAAATGTGAAACAGTGAACATCTGGCTGATAACAGCTGAGGAAGTGAATGAATACCCCAAATTAGAGGTACTGTATAGGCAGAGGGGATTTCACACAGCTAGAGGCAGGGACTGTCACTGCCTGGCTATGCGAGCCCTGCTGCTGAGCTTCGAATAACAGTGCTTGGGCCACAAAGAGGAGTTGAGCAGACCTAGGGTTCCAATACCTTTAATCCCCTCCTGCTTTGGCTCAGGGAAGTTTTACAGTGCAGACTGTTATGCAGGAAAAAAGATGAAGCTTTGAAGTACTTTAAAAAAAGGAGAAACATATATTGGCTCAACAGCAGCCCAGTGTCTGCCCCCAGAGATGACTAACAGCTGGTTTGTACTTCCTTACCTGCCAGGGCCTGCAGTCAGAGCCTTCTCTTGCTCCTGCTGAAGGGAACACAGAGCTTTGCGTTAGCCTCTGCCCGTTACCTGCTAGGAACAGGTAGGTGGGACTAGACAGGTAAGCCAGGGGTTTCCCTGTAGCCCTGAAGCTTCTCTCTGCCTGTGCATCCTTCAGGGCTGCAGGAGGAAGAGAGTGGGGGCCTGTTGGCTACAAGCCTTTTGGTTGGCACTGGCCCCAAGTGCTGCAGACCAGCGCAGCAGCCAGGGACCAGCATCAGTGCCCAGCCACACTCTGATCACCTCCTGATCTTTGTGTGGTTACAGGCATTTGTCAATCAGATTTTATTCCATCCACAGCACCAGTTAAAAGGGAATCAGGGCAAGCCAAAATCTGAACGCAGACCTAAAGCTTTATGCAAGGAGTTGTTTGAGAGTGGCAATTCAGGTATCATGTGCTTTGTTGCAAGTTTGGTTTGTTTTTGTTCTCCCAAATATTTTGTTTTCTTCCCCTGTGTGATTGTTTTTCTCATATTCATTAAATGCAGACTCTTTCCTGGGCCCGTGCCCCTGACCCCTGCAGGGCACAGCTCCTTACCAGCCTTCCCTCTTCCACTGACACAGCTTCCCTCAGGGCAGCTTTGCAGGGCTAAATTGCTTTTAGTTTTTTAGTATCCAGCTGTCTTTTTGGAACTAGGGATTTCTGGGAGTATATTAGGGGTTGGAGTGTGGAAAACAGCCCAGTCCTCACTACCAGGAGATCTGGCAGGAGGCACTCCCAGGCTGCTGCTGTTTGCCCCCAGGGATGCTGCTGGAAGGAAGGTGCACGGGTACAAATACTCAGTGTAATGCAGATTAGGTCCTTAGAATCTGGAGTCTGTCTGTGGGTATTCCCAGCGATCAGCTGAGAGCCAAACACCTCCCAACACACACACACACACTTCCCAGCTCCTGCAGGTGCTCACTGAGAGCAGCCACACATCTGATTTCTCCCTTCACTGCCTGTCCCCTCTCCAGGCTCTGCAGCAGCACAGGGATGCACATGGCAGAACGAGTGTCCAGCTGTCCTAAATTGCAGAATTTTCCCCAGAACTCTCAGCATTGGAATTTTAATTGTTGTTTTAAACTCAACAAAAGGCAAGTGTGAGCTGTTTCCTCAATGCCTCAGCCCAGTGTGTGCCCTTCTTCCAGTTCCCTGTGCTGCAGCACAACAACAAACAAACCTACAGAGGAATTCTCTTGAACCATTGTCCCTGTGATTATAGGCTTTGTCCTGTGGTGACTGCCCTTAAAGAAGTACAGATAATAAGACTAAAAGAGTATTATGGGTAATTGCTGGGCTCATACTGGAGTATCCTTTTAGTTCCATAGCACCTCCTCTCACAGTTCTTGGATGTATAATTTAGCAGAAGCATCATGATGTAATTTAATTCAAGTGTTTCTGTGTTTTAAAGCATTGAAATATAATTAAACTATTTACATGAAAGTCTAGTGTGATTGTCTTTTTCCCCTGTCACTTACATTTTCCCGCAGAAACTGCTGGAGTGTATCCCCAGTATCTGCTGGTTATTTGTGTGCAGTAAATTCTCCTGCTCTTTCAAAAACTGAACTAGATGTGAAAAATTCAGAAGGGGAAGCTTTGTGGGGGTCAAAGTTTAGTGTTCTACAGCACAAAAACTCAGATCTCTCCAGAAAGGCTTGCTGGAAAAGTCAGGAGGGCAGGAGCTTCCAGCTGCCAGTCCTGGGCATCCAGAGTACAAAAAGAAATCCCAATTTATCCTTAGGCTGAATTCCTGTACAGACCAGGGGTTCAGCAGCTCACCTGCAGCTCTGCCCACACCGAGGGGAACAGAACATGATGACATTGTTGATACATTTCAGATTTGCTGCTGCCTCATCTGGCCCACAGCCCCAAATCTTAGGAACAGTTAGGAAAGCTATCAGAGGAGCTGAAGAGGCAATGCTCAGGCAGAGAATTAACTGTATGAAAAGCTAAATAGCTGTATAGCCCACAGAACAATGTGGGGGAGAAAAGACACAACTGTGGAGACTTTTGGGTGCACGTGTGAAGCAGAACTGGCTTGTGTTCCATCCAATCAAGACACACAAAAGGATGGAATTAGGCACCCACATTTGGGCTTAGGAGCCTATCTGGTTTTCTCCATTTGTGATTCCTCATACTCATTATTTCTTGTTTCTGTATCAATCTGGGGCTGTTCCTGAATGACCAAATTTTTGTTTAAAATCCCCAGAACACCAGGTTGAGAGACACTCACCTTGTCCAGCAACGTGTGTATGTGTGCTGAGGGTGCTGCACAAGGAAGAGGCAAAGCAGGCTTTTGTTTAATACCTTTATTTAAAACAAACTTCAAGGTTAATTTGCAAGTTGCCAACACTGTCTGTGCTTTCACCAAAACCATTTATGGAGAACTTCCAAACTTTGCTAGACAACAAACCTTGCTCACCTCCTGTGATTTAACAAACTGTAATGACCTTTTATTTTTGGCCAAGTCAGACCAAAACTGCCTGAGCTTAAAAAAACTTGATGTGTACTTGCTTCGAGGTAGGTCTGTCTATACAGAAAAGGTAATTAACTATATAGGTAATAAAAATGTTTATAATTTCAAAGAATACAATCCCAATGATCCAATGAGAGATCCCAGCTCCCTGAAGATGTCTGGACTTCTGCCCACCTTTCACAGACATTGACTTCCATTCAAATTCTCTGTGTAAACATGGAAGCTGAGGCTATGGGCACATGGAAAAGCTCCTAAAAGAGTGGAATTCTGTTTGTTCTGCTGCAGCACTTGCATTTTCATGGAAACAAGTTTTTTACTGTGGTTTTTCAGCAGAGTAGTAAGAGGTAGCAAAGACTAGATTTTGGGGGGATTTTTTAATTTTAAGAGAAGTACTTTGCAGGTACTTCCCAGAGGAATACTGCTGACCTAAAGCAGATGGATTTACTATCTAGCCAAGGTAGTTTGCACCCCTATTCCGTGCCACCAGCTGAGAAAGGACTGTCTGATGTTACAGGAAAAGCTTGAGTCTTTTACAGATGTAATCCCTAATCCATTTAGAAGCTGAAGTTCCAGTCTCACTCTGCAACAGCTATTGCTCTCAGGTAGCAGGGGTTAATTAAATAGGCAGCACAGCCTTACAAACAGACTGAACCTGCCAATTCAACTGGAAATCAAGCACAGAAGTTGGTAAAGCATTTTGGTCTGCTACTGGAGTGCTCTTTGAATGCATACATGAATTGCAGCTGAACCTGTGTGTGCACTGGAGAGCAGAATTCCCCTTCTCATGTAACCATCAGCAGCACAGACTCACTTGTGTCACGTCCCACCTGGAATTATCCCCACAGCACCAGCTGGGGGTCAAACCCCTCCTCGTATCTGGCAGCACAGCTCATCCCATAGCACAGGATTTAGGTCAGTCCCTGTGCTCTAATCCATTTAGTCCTTGATTTCTCTGCTGTTTGGTAGTGGAGGCACAAAGACTAGCTGTGATGCAGTTTTCTGCTGTGACCACCAAGCTCCATACACAAGAGAGTTCCCTTAGGGCAAATCAGACACCACACAGAATTAGGACTGGGAATCTCATCACTACTAAGCAGAATTAATGGGATCAGGACTCATCAGTACTAAACTGGGTGGACTGAACAAGATGACCTAAAAGGAAAAAAAACCCACTTTCCCCCCATTATCTCTCCAATCAGCCCTTCTTAATTCTGCATACATTTTCTTGTGTTAAATAAATACTTGCCAAGGGAACTGAACTCTGATGAAAAGATAATCAATGAGTTCAATATATACATCCATTTCATGGCTTTCTGCTCTGCACCACCATAAATTTAAAGCAAATTATGTTCTGTTTAAATATTTAACACTGTAAAGCTAGCCAATTTTACATCCTGTCAGAGATAATTGAAATACCCACTTTGTCCCTTTAATAGGCAGGCAAAACATCCAGGAGATGGAAAATACCACTGGGATTTCACTATTTGCAACTGGATATTGGAAATACCCTCAATTCCTCAGAATTTAAAAAGTTCAGCTCTGACACCAAAAGCACAAAACCTGCAAACAGTGTGAAACTGAGAGCAGCCAGCAACAATCTCAAACCAGCTGGCTATTGCTGTCTCCCAAAACTAAACTATCAGCAGCTTTCATTTGCATAGTTGTGACACTAGAGGACCTCACACATGCATGTTAGGGACTGAATTAGAAGAATTTCAATGTAATCCCAAGGCTCTGCAAGGAAGCAACTTTTGTAGAACTGGTTCCTTACAAACACTCCTTTGAAGGGATCAAATCCAGTGGCTGTGACTAAGCTTGTGAGCACTGTGCACTTAGAGCTGCTATCCAACTCAGGGGGAAAGCCACTAGGCCAGAAGATAAAGAAGAAGGCCCTGAGCTGATCACATAATTTTTGTTTAAGATAAACATTTCAGAATCAATCCCTAAGACATCAGGGTACAAACTTTCCCCTAAAGCATGCATGTTACTGGCCACTGGGGCAAGCTGGAAATGCCATGAAGGCTTTTCTTTCTGAACTAGTTAATAAAGGACTCAAAGACTGTCTTTCAGATGCAGTCCCTATGGGTAACACAGCAAAACTTAACTGGTGGCACTGCTCCATCAGTCTGCCAGAGGTGATACAGCAGACAAGCTCAGCCATTAGCTGTGTAATAGATGTGTAAATGCATTTCCTTTCCTGTATCTGTAATTGCTGAGTCAACTTCTGTTGAAATACTGCTCTCTGTGTCAGGGCAAGGCACCAGGTTACACAAGTATTTTAAAGAGAAATTGTTAGACTCACGAAGGATATACTACGAACTGTAAAAGGCAACTCTCCAACAAGGCATTTGCCATTTCTTCCTCTAAATCCTTGTTTGCATGTTTGGGGTAAGCAAGTCCACAGGCAACAGGAGAGAACTTGGCTAAAATTATCACAAATGAATCTCAAATACAACATTAGAAGTCCTGTTTGCTTTCCAGTCCTCTGGCTTCAGCAAGACATGAGCAGGTGGGACTCTACTGAGCTGCAGCAGGGATGTTACTCAGACCTCTCCTAAGACCAGTGGTTTTGCCAGACCTGGAACCAGTGAGGCCTAAAGGAAGGATCACAGGAGAGAGAAGGTTAGAGCTTTGGGTCCAGGAGCCCTGCTGCCCAGTACCCCTTACAGAGCCAGTAAAACGTTGAGAGGTGACAAGGATCCATTCCCCAACAACACTCCCACTGCTCTCGTATCAGCTCCAGGCTAAATGGAGCTCCTGACACAAATGGCTGCCCTGGCAGCAGGGCTCAGCATGAGGCTACTGAGGGCCCAGAAGTGACAGTCTTTGTCAAATTGTCTGGTTTCTGCTCTGCAAACACTCATCAACCATCTGTGCTGACAGCAATTACATATTTCCTCAAATCCTCATGAGACACCAAGTACCTGAAGTGCCCTACCCAATATTAAACACCAGGGAAGTAGATGTGCAGAATGTCTGGAAATAGTGTGAGTGGGAATGTTTCTGGCTACACAGGCTTGCTGTGATCTGTGCCTCACCCTGGCTTTCAGGAGAGCTGAGGTGACCATTGAGGCAGCAGAGGAAACAAAGTGAAAGAAGATTTGTATGAGAGAATTCAGGGATGGCAAGATAGACAAAAAAGAGCAAGATCCCAAGGCTGCTTCTGGGCTTTGCACTGGCTCTTGGAAATCTGACCATAAAGCAACCTCTTTCCCCCTCACACCTACAGTCCATTAGCCAAGAACAGTTATCCAGACAAACCACATCTGTGGCTTAGGAGCCTATGAAATGAGATCCATCAATCCTTCAGTAATGGTACACACAGAAAAAAACCCAAACACTTCTTGACTCAGAAAAACAAAAATGTGAATGCTGGAGTTGTGATTGGCAGAATCTACAGGTAGCAACACAACAGAGCCTGATCCATTAACAAATCCTGCCTGCTCTTGGATAACCTGGAGTCCCCCATAACCAGGGGTTGCCTTGGGAAAACCAGAGCTAGATCCCCAGGCAAAGGCCATGGAAAAAAGACCCGCTGGCTTTAAAGCAGCTCTCTGCCCCACTGGAGGCTTGCAAATCTTGCATATTTCTAATTCAGCTCTGCACGTATCTTGATTTTCTCCGTAACAGACAGAGACAGAGGCAGTGTTTATTTCAGTAATTCATCTGAATGCTGCAGACACAAAACCCAGGGCAGATCTCTTTCCCACTCAGAGCTGTGCAGTGTAGAACCTGCAGGATGGGTAGGTTGGACATCCCTTCCCATCCCCTCCTCCCTGGTGCAGCACCTCAAAAATCCTCACCTGGAAGGAAGAAACCCAAATCACCAAAGCCCTCAATGACCAAAGCTCTGGCTGTGTCTATAGCAGAAGATGATTATGAGATCACAGACTCCTAACAAGTCTCAGAGCTGCAGCCTCCTGCATGAGTTGCTTCCCCTTTCCAGTCAGAAGTTTTAAGCCAGGATTACCACTCCATCTCAAGCTCCTGAGCAAGTAACTTAAGAACTTTTCCAGAGGACTGCCTGGTTTCATACTATACATATCCCCAGTGATTTCCTGGCCCTTTTTTTGTTCTCAGAGAAGTGCAGATGCTCCCCAGGAGCAGAGGTCCCCTCTGCACGCTGGGCTCGGGCAGGCACTGCGGCTGGGGCTCACTATTGTGCTCTGCACGGCCGTCTCCCAGTGACCGCAGCATCCGCTGATCCCGTCCCATCTGCTGCTACCTCACTGCAACAGCAGGGAAACGGATTCCTCCCATCACTGCCCTGGGCCCCACTCAGACTGAAAGGAAGAAGAAAGTACCTGCACTGGCTGTGGTTTGGGGTGATGTTTAACTGTACCAGAGGCGGCAGCCGGGCCGGAGGTGAGCTCATCCCCCGTGAGCTGCGGCTCCGCTGATGTCAGCGCACAACTCCGTGGCAGGAAGCGATACGGGAGCAGGAGCCCCAGAGGAAACTGAATTGAGCAACTGAGGTTAACTCCTCTGGCATTTAATCATGTGGCTTTTCCAGGGACTTTCTAAGAACCCAGGGCTGGGCTAGGCTGCCCAGTGTCGCTTTGCACACCAGTGGCAGGAGGGAGCAGCTGTGCTGCCACATTGCAAACCAGGCAACATCTGCCTCCCCTGGGCTCTTGGCCCCTTTCTCCCTCCCCAGGGAAAACATTTCATGAAGAGCTTCTTACAAAGCCCACTGAAGGTAGGACATGGATGCAGACAAGATTTCCTGGAATCCACCTCAGTCCTGAATGATACAGACTCATATTTGTATTTTTGCAGGGTTCAGGCGAGGTTGGGGCTCTGGGTGGTGCATCTGTACATTCCTACAACAGTGGTAACAGTTATCTGGCATCTCATATTTCAGAGAAGCTCAGATAAATTGGAGCCCTCTACAGAAGCAGGCCAGTGCCATCACTGTGCTGCTGAGGCACCTCTGCCAGTGCCAGCCACTGTCAGAGAGCTCTGCTTAGACTACAAGCCAGGAAAGAGAGAGGAAGACCATCCTGGAAGCATTCTGGAGTTATTCCAGCATAGTAAAATGTCCCAAATACCAAGGGATCTTCTATTCATAAAGTCTTCAAGGCAAGACACCAGCAATAAACTATTTTTACTTTTTACAAACCAGCCAGACAATTTCACTGAGCTGTACCTCTACCAGTGACCAGAACCTCAGATGTGTGACTTCTTGGAAAGACAGACAGATTTTCTTCTTTTTTTCTACCTCCACTTCTGCTGAAGCAGTCACAACTGAATTAGATGGAAGGAAAACTTTCCAAATGCTCCTCTGTTTATAGGATTTACCAGAAAGATTGCAGCCAGTGCTAGAGCCTTGTGCATGGTTTGCCAGAGCGCTGGCTCCACTGTTTAGTCTTGTCTAATTATGATTATCTAATTTCAAACCTTGTGTGGCTGGTGCCGAGTTCAAATTCAAGTCACTGCTTTCCAGAGGATTTCCACCCTCAGATTCTCCTTCTTGGACCACTGCTTGAGGCTACAAAGAAAAACACCACAAATAAACAAGTCCCTCCATGCAAAATTAGGTATTGAAAGACAAAATTGCAAATATGCAAACTAGCTGGACTATTACCTAAACAAGACTGTGCAGCCCTGACAGCACATCCGTTTACCACAAACCCCTACATCCAACCATAGGCAAGAGCACACACCAGGGTGTGCAGTGTCCACACAAACTCACCAGACTCTGAATAGCTGTCAGAATCCAAGATAAACCACCCCATTACCAGCCTTGTGGGACACAGCCCAGCACTTTGAAAAAATCTGCCCATTATGCAGCTGTGGAGATTTCTTTTATTATCACAAATGTTTTTTATATTTCAGGTTATTCCCCTGTCTTGACCAGCTAAACATTTTGTCTACTGAAAGTTAAAACCAAAATGATTGTTCTTTTTCTTCTGCTTCCCCCCAAAAATTCTTCAGCTGTTTAATTCTGAACTGAAACATCAGAATACTTCACTAAGAAAAAGTTAAAATGACACATTTTGAAATGTTAAAAACTCTAGTTCCTCCTTCTTGTCTTTCAGATTTGTCAGTCCAAAAATGACACCAGCAGAATTCACTGGGTAAGTTTTGTTCTGTAAGACACGGCCACTTCTGCCTCTGATGACTTTCCATAGAGCTTGAGGATCCCAGTTTGCACAGCTGGTTGCTTTAAGCACTGGTAACACAGGCCTCCCTAATCCGTGTATTCAAATAACATTATATAAATGGGCTTAGGGAAAGCAATGGCCTTTGAGCAAGAGCAGTGTGCTGAGCTAGCCTGTTACCTTCTCACCTGGATTGCAGAGAAGGAACAGATTCATGGAACAGCTCCCTTGTCTGGGAGGTTCTGCACAAGGCTTGCAGTTTCCCACTATGCAGGAAATACCTGCATGGCAAGGTTACATTCAAAAATACTTTTGATTTTTCCCATATCCTGGCACTTCCTTGCTGGTGAACATTTCCTTCCAAGCCTTCTGCATGGTCCTTCCTCACAGACTGCTCTGTCCCTCTGGTTCTGCTGAACCAAAGTGTTCCTTTCCCTCTCGAGCACTCCAGAGCCACCACAGCTGTACAACAAACCTATGGATTCCTGCAGCAAGTGCACAGCTTGGGTTTGGATCTAGCAATTTTTGTGATGCACACTAAATACTCGTTTGTGGCTGTTGTGGGGTTTTTTAATCACTCCTAATGACAGGTAGCATAGCATTAATAGTTTACAGGACTGAATATCCTTATTGATTAAAAACTTTTGTCTTGTTTTTACACCTGAAATGTTTTATTCTTAGCTACTAATTCTTATTAATCCTTTGTTTGTTGCATAAAATAGTCTCCTGCTGGCAGGACTCAAAACTTTCTTCATTCAGTAAAATTTCTCTTCTAGCTTAACTTTAAGTTTCTTCTTTTGAGACAAACTGTTATGCTAAGCAATTGCTTCAGTCTTTCAAGTCTCCTAGGAAGGCAACCTCTGTAAGAAAAGATAGATCTCTGGTCTGCCATTATATATAGCCATTATATAGCCTGAGAAAGTGCTATACTGTAGAAATCTGGTATGTCTTGAAGTACAGCATCTCCCCCAGGCTCTTTTGGAGGCCATCAGGAAGGCACTCAGAGCTTCCCTAATTATTTCCAGGCTACCAAGGCTGAAAGAACATTGTGGCAGACACAGGGCCTGAGAAGGGCAAACACAGCTGAAAGTTCCCCAGGATCTGTGACTGAAGAAGTGGGAAAAGACTGAACACCATACTCACCCACTTGCGGGGCCTCCCTCTTGGCCTTTTCCCAGCAGAAGGATCTGCCTTTATTGAGAACAAAAGGGGAAAAATATTGTCAGCTCTCAGATTTGCTGGACATTGTGACTAAACCACTCAACATGGCAAGGTCTGTATAAAGGTCTCATCTCACAAGTAGCAGAAAAAGCAAAAGGTTGGGATAGAAGACAGTTGAGGAGGAAACACCTGCCTGACTGCACTGGTTGTGATTATTTGGCAGTGGTGGAGAAGAAACACTGAAAGGAAACTGCTGAACAGGCAGTAGCAACACAGGAAGGCTGGGAGGTGAGTAAGGACTAAAACCACAATAACTGATTTGTCCAACAGAGGCAATTAAAGTTGAGCTGAATTAGGGTCAACTTTCATTATCTTTAAAGTAAGAGAAACATCCCTGCTTGTCTCTCCAGCAGTGCTTCTCTCCCCTGTAAATGAGTATAAACCATTTCCTCTCACCATTCCCCCAGTTATAGCAGTCAGTTTCTTGCTTCCTTTTGGCCTTCCTCGTGGTTTCTTCACTGGCTGTGGTTCCACACCATCCTGTGGGATAGCAGCTGTGTTTCCACCATCCTCCTGGGATAAAAAGAGAAAACCATTTAAGCAGGATGATCCCTGACGCAATTTACGTTCTCTCATTCTGGCTGGACTGTCTTACCCCACTAAGAGTACCCAGACCCCTAAACAGCTGGTTGTTTCTGCTTTTCCAGCTGTGAAGTGCATTAGAAAATGATAAGCAATACTCCTACCTCTTTGTCTTTTGGGCTGGGGAAATGAGTAAGTTCCAAGAACTCTGGCCAAGGGGCCTTGCCTGTTCTGTCCAATTACTGGTGCAGACACAGAGGGTGATGACATGTGAAAGTCTCCAGGCTAGAACAGAGACCTGGTCAGCCTCTCTCACACATGTCCTGGCTGAACTGTCACTGCCTGTCACATCAGAGGTGCCTCGGAGGCCAGGAGCTGAGATTTCCCAGGCTGCGGATCCTGCTGCTGTCCTGGGTAGCAGGATGACATCTACCATCTAGGCATCTACCACAGAACACCTCTTCTTCCCTTGTCCTTGTTAGCAAGCAGCTTTCCCAGGGCTGCCTGCAAATCCCATCAGGCTGCTGCCATGACATCCTCAGGCAGCCTCCTGGGATGAGATGTTCCCTCACCTGTGGCTTCTTCTTTGGTCTCCCCCTCTTCCTCTTCAGGCCCTCGGTCAGTGTAGATGCGATGGGATTCTCTGGCCCCTCGTTGCTCATGCTGGCACTCTCCACTGTTTGCAGATTATAATCCAACAGGTTATTTTTTCTGGACAGGGAAAGAAAACTTTCCTCCTTTTGTTTGCTTTATCTTGTTATGGATTCTCCTCTACCTGCAAGGCTGAAATTATGAGAAAGAATCAGGCATGGCAACTTGCTGTGGTTTTCATCAGCTGCAAGAGTTCAGGACCCAGCAGACATATATAGAGCATAATTGTGCTCTATAAATATTCTAGAACCATTCTTTTACCTGGCCTATTCCTGAGATTTCTGAGGCTTTTGGCCAAAGGAGGTGGATTGCTCCAGGCATGGACTATGCTGGTACTTGCATTTGCCTTTCCCTGTTTAATCTGAACCAAAAAAAAACAATGTCTGCAGCTCTCTGAACTCCACTCTTTGGAGGCTTCCTCTGCCCAAAGAGGAAGGAGGTGGGAGATAGTGGTGGTGAGTTATAAATGCACCAGTCAAGGGCAAAGCCTCCTTTGGTGCTCCTATGCTGTCAAATACCAAAGCTAATCCTGAGACCAAAATCTACAGCTAAGAGAGCCTTACATGAGAATGCCTGAGACAACAAGTCCCAGGGTACAAAATCTAAGAAGTCTGGCTCTGGAGCCACCCCTCATGAGTTTGCTCTTACTGATTGAACAGGCATTGTCTGGAGAGATGGCCTGACCCCATTCAGTGCACTCAGCCCTTGGTCCTACATGAGGCTCACTGTTTTCTACGGGACAACACAAGCCCCTAGACCTGGATTTTGTTTGGACCTTGAGCACTAGCTTGTCTGCTGGAAATGTGAATCAGCAGGCTTGTCAGCCTCCTCCCTGGTCCCAAGCTCTGCTTAGTGCTGGATGTGGCTGGAATGAGCTCTGATCCAAACTGTTTGCTCTAAGAAATAACCAAGATCACGAGCTGCTCAGAGTACACAGGAAACCAGTGACCTTCCCTGCTTCTGCCTGAGGTGTCTCCTCTGGCTTGCCTGCCAGAGAAGGTGGAGGCCTGACTGCAAGCCTCGATACCCTCACACCCCAAAGCAGGAAGAGGAAGGGAGATCTTGACCAGAACCTCAGCAGAAACCTGAATCCCAGGCACATCAGGAGAGGTGGGGGTCACTGGAGTTTTGCTTGCGTGCGAGTCAAAACCTAGCCAAGGGTCTGAGCTCAGCCCACTTAGAGCACCTCCAGACCCTGGATTTCCATTCCTTCTGGCACACAAGGGAGGGCTGAGGACGATGGGAGGAGATAAGGAGGCTGAGCTTGGCTGAACAGAGGCCAAAAGTGCTGGCTGAATCCTCTTTTGTTAGTAGTTCTTATCAGAAAACACCCTGCTGAGAATAGAGCAGTTAGGAAAGCAGCATCATTTATTGCTCAGGAAAGCAGGAGTATCTAGATGAATCATGAATTTCTACCTTCTCTGCAAAACCATCACCTGAGAATTTTTATTTTTTTTTTAACTCTTCATTTTACCTGTTTTACTACTTCTTTTGCACCTGTTAAAAGAAAGATAACAACAGCAAGCTTAAAGAGCTCTTTACCCCATTGGCCTTAAGCACTGCTGAGTCTCCAGGTCCCTCCACCTGAGACAATAAAGGCAGTACTAAGTAAAGGCATGGTTGCACCATAAAGAAGTATGTGACTTTTTTGTTCAAAATAATGCTGGAGGGCAGCAGCTGGCCTCAGTTCCAGCTCATGCATGAGCAGCTCTACAAAGACAACTCCCTGGATAGCCCTTTGTGCACACTGTTGGGCCCCAGCTCACAGGTGCTGCCGCACACTTGGCTTTTCTATCAAACCTTCTGATCAGAGGGTGATGGAAAGACTACAGCTCAGGTCTCTGAGTTGAGGCTGCATCTGGAGGAGAGGCAGTTAGGGGAAAAAAAGTTTCTATGTGCAAGTCACGCACAGTTGCCACCAAGTCCCTGAGAGACAAGCAAGAAACACTTGCAGTCTCTTTCAGAGAAGAGCTGTGCTTTTACAGACACAGTTTTGTAGTCTGATCAAAAGTTCAAGTTCTAAAGATGAGAGGACCTTAACTGAGAATGACAATAAATATTCTGCCCTCTGGCTAGCTACAGTTCCTTGAGCCTGTGTTTTCTGCTCAGAATTGGGGTTCAAACAGGCTGGTGCCAGCATCTGGAGCTGGCTGTGGCAGGAGCAGGTCATTGAGGCTCTGGACTGCCCTAGGAGGAGAGAAGCCCTAGCACCTCTTCCCAAAGGCAGGTCTAAGCCAGGCCTAGCTCATGTCACACACATCTGTTCCTGGATCAGCCCAGTGTGCTGCAAAGGTGGCTTGAAACCTCCAGAGCCTGAGCCTTCCCTCAGCTGCCAGTGGAAAGGGAACAGATCTGGCCATAGGAATGGACAAGTGTGAAAGTGCTGGCCAGACCCCTGAGCAGAAATGACAGCTGCTTATCTGGGGGAGGCTCTGCTGATAAGAGGTGGAGTTAAGCATTTTCTTTCTGTTTTTCAGTCTCAGCTTGCATTCTCTGCTTGGTCACCACAGGTTGAACATGCAGAATCTGACAGTCAGACAGATGCAGTGAGGAAACTTCCAACTTTCCTCCATAGCCTAACATAATGTGTGCACTTGTACAGACACCAAAGCCACTGCTCTTACTGATACAACTTCTCTCAAGAGTTCACTGTAACTGACACCTGCATGGAATCCAAATTTTGCATGTCATTATTCACGTGGGAGCAACTACAGTGCACAGAATTCATTTTTCCCCAGATGCAAAAAAAGTCAGTTCTTGCACAATGATTTTTTTGCTAAACTTTGCTAAACTAATACACTCTACAACGCCTTTAACATAGCTGGCCAGCTTTCTACAGGCAGGACTGCAGTCAAATGCCAGAGACTGCCAGGAGATAGCAGTTGCTTTGTACATCTCTTCAACTTTTCCATCACCCACCAAAGGCATATCCTTCTTGAAGCCTGGTGTGAAAAGGAAAACACACAAGGATCACCTTTATGTCAGCCATATACACAGCTTTGCAAATGGCACAGGGATGTGAATGGCTTTGGCAGTATGGAAACCTCTGTTTTGCACAGACATCACCTAAAAGAAAGCCTCATCTCCCAGATGCATTCCCAGGCACTTGGCAGAGGGCAGGGAATCTTCACAGTCATAGTACTTGACACCTGATTTAAGTCCTAAGCTGTACAAAGCCAGTTTTCTCATGTCACAAATGCTCAGGAAAGAAAAGTTCCTCCTGGGGGCAATGCAGCTGTAGCCTAACACAGAGTATTGAAAAGTGTTCTTGAGGGACTTTTCCCTTTCCATAGACTACAGAGGAAGCCTTGGGAATGAGGCTGTTGACTTGGGTGGGTAAATTAAACAGCAGAACCCCTCCCTGCTTGTTTCCTCAGGGAGGTTAGATTTTAGGCTATGTCCTTGGGAGAAACATGCTATAACACAGGGATACCTCAGACATTGCACTAAACCCCCCAAACCATGCGTGTGATTCAGTGCCAGAAATGCTTCTCTGGCTGCAGTGCTCACTTACAAAATAAAAGCTTGCAAAGCCTTTTACAAAGCATAATAGGAGTGTGATTATAAGAGACCCTGCACTATAGCTGAACTCCATCGCTGTCTCTGTAATAACATGAAAAAATATCTCCCAAGCACAACTCCCACTTAGCAGCACAGCGCCATTGTGCTGCTGTCATGTGTGACAGCAAACCCAGGGGAGCTTCACTGGCATCAGTGTGGTCACTCTTTATTCCCTCTGGTAAAAGATAGAGGGAAAAATTTGGCCCAAGCTCTGCATCAAGCAGAGGAGGATAAAAGACTTTGTTAGTCAAGATATCTAAAGAAGAGCACTAAGAAGGCCAGGCAGGGAGAAAACTCATTCCAATAACTGCAGCAATAACGATCTGTACTTGTATTACGAGAAATTACTTTCACCTTCCGAGAAATCAAATGCTCACATCTTTTCAGATCTCACGGTAGATCAAGATATAACACAGCTCATTGTGGTTCCCCACGGACACTTCTACCAGAAAAGCAGGATAGCCAAGCACTGGAACAGCTCCCCTGGGGAAGTA